TTAGTAACTTGTATCAAAAAAGTAATTTGCACTAATAATTAATTCCATTCTGAGCTCTGTAACAATGAAAACTGTATTGCTGAAAATATTTATAAAATATGAGGCTTGAAACAGAAATAAGTGTACAGAAAGCCATTGTGCTCTGTGTAACCTAATTAATTCATATGATCCTTTTATATTCCATAAACTGAAATTATCAGATCAGTCCATAATTATGTGTACATTTTGTTCATACAAGTTTAGACACATTATTTTGGTGCATATAAATTCCAATTAAGTTCAAATTAATCTTAAGTACAATTGAATAGTTGCTGAGTTTAGTACTGTTGTGTTTTTTAAATTTATTATTTAATTCCTTTTATAATGGAGATTATAAATGAATACAAAAGATATATTTTATATTTTTTGTTCTTAAGTGAAAAAAATGCTACAAGTGCAACAAAGGAAATTAACATTATGCATAATCAAAATATTATTAGTGTTAGGGCTGCCCAAAAGTAATTTGAAAGGTTTAAGAAGAATGACTTTAGTGTGGAAGATTAAGTTTGTTCAGGAAAACCAGCAAACTTTAATAACAATGCTCTCTCAGCCCTAATGGCAGCAGAATCAAATTTAACTGTTAATGAACTTGCAGACCATTTAAATTCATTCCATGGAACCAACTACATTTAAAAGAAATTGGAAAAGTGTCCAAGTTGGAAAAATGAGTGCCACTTGAATTACTGCTGGTTAATCAATACATGCTCCTCTTCTCTAATTTCACATTTTGTTTTGAAACCCTTCTTTGATCAGCTTGTTATCAGAGATGAGAAGTGAATCATTTACTGGTGAGAAATGTTTGGTGTAATCCACTTTGAGTTTTTGGAAACAAACCAAACAATTACATCTGCAATACATTGTGAGCAATTAGAACATTTACATAAAAAACAGCTACCCCTAATCAATAGAAAGAATATTTTGTTGCAACATGGCAATGCCAGACTGCATATTGCAAAACCAATCCTCAATAAAATAGAACACAACTGGAAAATTTTACTGCACTTGCTGCATTCACCAGACTTGACATCAAGTGATTACCATTTATTCCAGGGTTTACAGAACTTTTTAAAAAGAAAAAATTTTTTGAAGAAAAATAATGTTGAAAATACAGTTGCAAAATATTTTTAGTCTAAACCAAAAACTTTTTATGAAAGTGGAATTAAAAAGTTGCTTTCAAGATGGCAAGACGTAAAAAACGATAACAAGTACTGTACATTTTGGATTAAAATAAATTTTAATATTACCAGTACTGTGGCTGTGGAGAAGAATAGAGAAGGTCAGATGGAGCAATAAAGCAATAAGGTGAGAAATGAAGAAGTCCTAAGAAGACTGGGCGAAAAAGGAGCATATTAGAAAATAAAAAGGCAAAAAACTAATTGGATGGGATACATGATTTGACAGTAAGGCTTATGGAATGATGTTATGAAAGACATGGTTGGAGACAGAAAGGAATGAGGGAGAAAGAGAATTAAAATAGTGGATGACTTAAAAGAGAATAGTTATAAGGAGCTAAAGACAAGAGTGCAGGATTGAGTTGCATGGAAAAAGAGGTGGTGCTCACCTGACCTGCTATATCTAGCAGAAAACTAAAAAAGAAGAAGAATCACAAATACTGTATGAATTTTATTTTTTTATATTTTAAATGAACTACAAATGCACACAAATTTATGAACTGACCTCATATAAGAGAAAATAAACTTTTTGTAAACAACAGTTTCATTTTTAACTTTATATATAATGAAACCATTTATATGTTGAGTTCTGATTATAATATCAGTAATACCATATAATTATCGATAATAAAGATTAGTAATGTAATTTAATAAATTGTTTTATTAAAAATAGAAATATAAAAATATATATAATCATAATTACAGTAAAATATTTTAAAACACAGTATGTTGCTAAGTACATTTCTATTGATATTATTAATATCAATACAATTTATATGCACTAATAATTTTGAAATTTTATATTCATAAGCATTTCAACTATACTCACACTTCACAGTCATTCAAGCATAGTTGCATAAATGAATGAAATCATTCCCATCAATTGCATATTACAGTTTTGTCTCAAAACTTTAACATGTTTTTTGTGCAAGATATAATGTTCTTTTATAGATAATGAAAGATGTAATGTACACACATTACAGCTTTCATTATTTATAAAAGAATATGCCATTTTAAGTATTAATTAAATCCAAATCATTTATCAGTTGAATTAAGACTGATTTTTGCTATTTATTATTAATGAAGTTTTCATAGAATGGGGTTATAATTTATTTTTAACAACTTTACTCATTCTTCTTTATAATAATAAAACTAACATTCACATCCAATAAAAATATTAGCTTAATGCTTTTTGGCTTCTTCAAAACATCTTAATTACCTACTTAATTTGAAATAAAAATGAAATACTAACAAATTAAAATTCATTTTCTAGCCTATTCATCTTTCTTAAACTTTTCTTAATTTCTCTTGCGTTTAATACCAATTATTTTTAGTACTTAAACAGAATAATTAATATCTTTAGAGAACAATTTATAAAAATATCTTAATCATTAATTAATTAACTGAAAAAAAGTTCATTGAACATTAAATAAACATTCTCTAATATGATTATATACAAGTATTTACTATATAAGTGCCATTGATGCAATATTAATGAAATATTATTTAACCAATTACATTGCTATCAGTTAGGTTCAATTAAAAATATTTAATTTTATGGCATAATTGTTGATCCAATTAATGTAGAATTGAATTTCATATTTAGTTACAGAAATCAAAAAATATTTGTACATATTTATATACCAGAAGTCAATAACCCAAATTCTTGGTTTTGTAAGAAGCATCCAGTCAAAAGAAATCACAACTAGTCAACTGTAGAAAATTAACTTTATTCACTTAACTTATATGTTTTGCAGTAATCCTCATTAGATATATTATTGCCACTGAAAAATATTACAGAATACTTCTTTACGATGCCATTTTACATTTTAGCTTATGTAAAACCATTTAAAATTCATTAAAAGCTTCCATTTTACATTATATATTTTTATTTACAAATTTATACTAATTTTTAAAAGTTTTAAATATCAAATTTTTTTCAAGTTTTCAAGAAGTTTCATTTTCAGGATACAGTTGATAGACAAAAAAAAATTCCGGTATTTAAATATCACACAAGATTAAAAATTTGTTGATTGGACACTCAGAATAATGTTCAAATTTTATGATATTATTTTTATTTTTCTTTTAAGTTAATAGCTGCAATATATCTATAATCATATTTTTAATATAATCAATTGCACATCTCTTTTATTCACAACATGCATTAATATTTTAAAATATTTTTCAATAATCTAATTTTCAAAACTTTTATTATTATATTAATTAATTGTATAAAATTTCATTTTTCTATTTGCCTTTTCAAAACATAAGTTTACACCATTATCACAAATTTTTAATTTTAGATCAAGATTTTTAATTGAAGACATTATAAAATTAAATAAAAGATGGATACAATGATTTAAAAAATGTTTCTATAAAAAAATATTCCTTTGAAATTTATAAGAGAAAAAACTTCATAATAGCTGATGTATCTTTTTCTATATGGTATTATTTATATTGTCAAACTGTATTTACTAAAATCAATTTTTCATTTAATTCTGTTTAATACTAAATTATTTTATTTTCAAATGCATGAACTGTGAATAATTATTAGCATTGTATTATTCATACAGAAGTATTGATTTATGTATTATATAAATTAATTTATTTATTTTTAAAATAACAATGAAAATAACATACTCTGTCTTGTGGAGTTAAAATCAACAAGTTATTCACACTTTGCAAGTAGTTTCAATAGTTTATGACTATCCTCCTCAAGTTGATTTGTTTTATATTCAAATTGAACAAGATTTTTTATATTTAAATGAAATTGGAACATAATGGGCAAACTAAAAAAAAAAAAAAAAGTTTAAAAGGTTCAGTCGCATGCTCATGGAATGTAATAAAGATTAAAAATTGTTAAAAATAAACTTAATGATCTTTTTTACAACTTTATTACATTCCACAAGCGTGCGACTGAACTTTTTTTTTAATTTGCCCATTATGTTCCAATTTCATTTAAGTATAAAAAATCTTGTTCAATTTGAATATAAAACAGCCTGAAAGCACTTGCAAAGTGTGAATAAAGTGTTGATTTTAACTCCGCAAGAGAGAGTATGTCATTTTAATGTTATTTTTAATAAAAATCTTGGTATAAAGTGCATCATTTCTTCAATTTATTTTTTACTTCTCTTTTTGAACATTATCAATTAAACAATTTATCATCTAATTACTGGCAAAAAATTTAATAAAGTTTCTTCAGTTTTAAGCAAATAATTAAAAGCCAATCATTAATTATAATCAGAAATTTCAATTTGTAATTATTATTATTATGCCAAACTTTAGAAAGCTGCTGCATAAACATCTAATGTAAAATTGATTAAAAGACATTAAATTTAAATAAATAATAATATCCTTTTCATAACACAGTTATTTTTAAATTAATTTTATAAATAAATCATTATTTAAAAATGAATGATGTTTATTTCACATAATAAAAGAGTTGTAAATTATATCATTAAATATAAAACTAAATTAGGTTGCATTTAAATTGTATATAATCAAAACCACATGCAATTCAAATGCAATAATGATCTTAATTACCCTAAGAATCATATAAATTAATTATGGTTATCAGTTTTTCTTGGATTATTTGTTAATCCATATTATATTTCTAACATGTTATATACTATAACAAACTGATCATGCAACAAAATCACAACTTTAATTTGAATAATCATGCAACAAAACTTCTATGTTTATTAATCATGCAGCACACAAAAGTACAAGATAAATCATTTATATATATTCTCATTAAGATGATCATTTCCCTAGTATTATTTAACATACCTTGAAATTCATCATCCCATTCTACATCAATAGGGAAAAAGAAAGCACCATGATTTCAGCAAATTATAAAATGAATTGCCATAATAAATAAATTAATTAATATTTTTTCCATAATGAAGTATCTGTTTCATTTAACATTAACTCTTTAAACATTCAATAAATTTGAAAAAAAAAACTGAGTGTCAAAAGTTTTAGAAATTTGATCAAAAATGTATACTAAAATATATGATTCTATGAGTGAATTATTAAAAAGTTTAAATATGATAATAAGTGAATTCCTGTAATGTTTTATTTTATAAATTTTAAAAATATTTCAATGAAAAAAATATAATAATATAAGTTTTTTTTTATAGTTCATTACTTTCACAAAGAATGACAACTTCAGTAAGATTGTTATTTTGAATTATAAATGAATGATAAGAAAATTATAAATGCATTTGTTTTTATAAAATCATAATAAAAAGATTATATAAAATTAATTTCATTCATAAAATAATATAAAATTAACAAAATACTCCAGCATAATGCCAAAAGAATTTCATGAGACAAAAATTGTAAAAATAGAGCAATCTTTTTCTGATCTAAATTTTAATACTCATTAATGGTTTCTGACGATGTACAAAAAGAATTAAATGATTTTATCTTTCTTTCGGTTTACATTTATTCTGATATAAAACTAAACTTTTCAAATATAATTTAAAAACTGTACTTTCTATAAACTACAATAATGGGTATGAAGTGGGTTTGCTGGTAAACTGCACTGCTAAGAAGCTATATATTCTAATACATTTTACACTTTAATATGTAAAAAGAAGCAAATACTATAAGAAATTTTTCATATTCAATTTATTATATGTAAGTTTGTGTATGTCATGAAAATTGTTCTTTCATCCTATTTGATTAGAGAAAAATAAAATAAGTAGAGAAACTGTTATTTTAATTAGCAATTTTTGACACAATAATTAAAAATTTTATTTACAAATATCTTAATATTTTCTAGTTTCAAAATTAATAGAAACATATTTCAATATAAATTTTTATAATTATATTTACAAAAAGATTATTTCATTAAGCAACCTACCTTCATCCCAATGAATGACTTTAAAGATAATTTTATGCATAAAATTATTTTAAAATAAATTATTTAATACATGTTAATATTTGAAAAAAATTAAAAATATATATTTTAACATAATAAATACCATCCTTTTAATCTTTTAATATTTATGGATATTTACAATACTATTAGCAATATATTTTAGTAAAAATTTCTTAGTACTACCAATAATTTTTCATTTCATCAATCTTTGTGTTACCAAATTGTTTACTTAAAATTACAACTGATAAAAATAGTTAAGTTTGTTCCAATTGATTCAATAAAAATATACAGTTCATATCCTCACTAGTTTAACAATCCTCCCCAGTCTAAAATATTAAAACTTTATGTTAACATAGTTATTAGAACAAGCAGAGTTATATAAAGAATTCAAAATTTTAAAAATTATCTTATTCAAATAAAACTTTAAATAATAAATTATAAAAAATATGAAATATATTGATAGTTAAATAAAATGTTAAAATAAAATACTACTGCCATAAGGTTCTGAGACTTTAACAATTAAATTATTATAAAACAAGCTGATTTTCAAATTCATTTTGAAATCTTTTTCTAGAGAACATAATCTCTATAAACATCTCAAAATTATTGTCCAACAATTATTTGTTTAAGATATAAACATATAATTGGATTTTTAGATCTTTAAATTTTTATTCTATTTATAATAAATTACTTTCTAATTTATTTAGCTTTATGTGAAATATTAAAATAAAGTATTACTACTGTAACTAGCAATAACTTTTATATTTTGCATAATTTATTATTTCAAGTTCTGTTTGTATAATACCAATTTAAAAATTATTAATTCTTAATGTAATTCTACTTGTTATAATATTAATATGTAGTTATTGTTTTTTGTTATGAATTTCTTTGATCTACACTATCCAATATGTTGGTAAACTGAAGATGGTCAAAATATTATTGATTAATTATTATTTTTTTGGCTTTCTTAAATAAGCAGTCTATTTCATTTTCATTTCATTATGGCACCAAGTATTGCTGAGTTTCTTTTTTTAAGAGGTTGATTTTTGGAAATAAATTCTACCAATTATCTCTAGCAATCAAAAATATCATACACACTCATAGTAAATATTTTTGGCAAATTTATTGTTAAAGCATTATGTATCTTCAACTTCAGTAAATCTTGGCAATAAATTATACAGTATAAGAAACACAAACTACTTCTTCAGATACTAAAAATTTATTTTAAACTAAACACATGTTTGGCTTGTCTTAGTAAGCATTATATATCATAAACAAAAATTATTTTTTAATTTTAAAAGAAATTAACATATATGGGAGAAAAACCACACTTATCCAACGTTAAAAAACATTCACTTTTATAACCACTTAAAGGATGTTTTGGACGAATAAACAGAAATGTTATGTCCTTCAAATCTATTGCTCACCTGAGTTCAAGAATTACTCAGAAAACAATTAATTCTCAGATATTTTATTTAAATTTTTAAATAAAAGCAAGATCAGCAGAGTAGCAAAACATCAGGAGGATATTGCCAATAACAAACTCACAAGTGAGCTTTCAAAAAGAGTATTACAGCATGGCTACGTGCCCCTTTGGGCTAATACTAGATTACTGAGACAGTGCTAGGATAAAAAAAATTATTCTTATGAGAAATCTTTATATCATCAGTTTCACCCTGTAATACTGCTACCATCTTTATTCCACATTTATGGATAGAATTATTTAAGCAATTTACTTTGTAGATGTTCTAAAGATTTTTATACTTGGGAGTTATATTTTCATTGATAACTTTGCATACATCACATTTTATTAGATTGTACTAATTTTTATTGAATATTTAAAATTTCAATATGCCTTAAAAGAATTTAAAAAAGAAACGTTACATTTATATTCTATTCTTATGTTTGAAATTTGTGTTTGATTTTTGTCTGATGACAAAGGCAAAAATCTTTGAAAGTACTTGAAATTTTTAAGAAATACATGTTTTTTAACGTTGGATGTGATTTCTCTCCTATATAACAATCCTGTGGTGAAGTGAATATTGCTTTTGTAAATTAACATATTTTATGAAATTCTTTATACTGACAAAAGTATTTCAACATAAATAAAATTTCTTTTATAAGATTTTGAAAATAATGTTTTAAGAACAGTTTAAAATGATCTGATATAGTTTCTGAAAATTTTGTTACAAAATGTTTATTAGATTTGAGTTAAGTTCAATATCAGCAATATAAATTCAATCATAATAATAAAAGGTAATACAAAATTAAATTCACTAAAGAAAAAAATTAAACTTCTAACATAAACAAATTTTTAATAAATATTTTTAAATTAAAAAGGAAGCTAAAAGCAACTCACTTTTCAAAATTATAATTTGTCACATGCAATAAATTAATCATAATTACTTAATCCATTTAAGTAAATTTTAAATAAATGATTTAGTATATGTTTAATAATTTAACATAATTTTTCATAGATTATCCCTTTTCATGTAACAAACAATGCATTATAAGAAAATTTTCCTTTTCTCTAATTACATTACATAATATTTGGATTTTTTCTCATGTAAACTAGACAACTATCATGTACAACTATCATGTATATCAAATATTAAAGTACTGTAAATTAAATAATTTATTAATTCCTTTTTTTATTTTTACTTAAGATTTAAAAATTTAATAATTTTGATTCAAAAGAAATTCATATTTTAGATAAAATGCATATATATACATATACAATATTTACTAAATATACATCTAGTTACAAAAAACATCAATTTATATTTGCATACAACTGTCACCCTTCATCATTTCTTTTGATGGCATCTGCTGTTAGTTAAGCATCAGTATTATTATATACAAGATTAAAAGCAGAAATAAGCAAATTTTATAAATTTTTATTAATATTCTATTTTTAATAAATAGAAATAAATTTTTCATTAAAATATTTTAAGAAACAATATCTAAAATCAAAGATATCTTTTTTATTAATAACATATTTATATACATCTTTAGTTACTTGTAAAATTATTATCTTGCAGAAAAGTAAATATTTATTAAATTTAAGCATTTAAAAGTTATTTTTCAATATCAGCTCTACTCAAGAATCATAACAATAAATATAAAAATTTAAAGTTAAAATTTATTATTATATTTTAAATATAATATTAAATTTTAATTTGCATTTTATAATATTATACCATTAAAACTAAAGTTTTTAAACAAAAAATAAAATGGTTTTAAAGTAAATGCAGTTTTGTAAAATCATTTTATTTTTAATAGATTGATAATACAGACAATGTAATCTTTTATTGTAAATAAAACAATATTTCTTTATTTTTTTTTGCAAATTTCATAAATTAAAAACTTTTTTGGTAATAAATACTTTTCTTTATATGATTTTATTAAAAGTAGCTAATTAATAATCAAAATGTTGACTAAAACTACAAAACTTAAAATCATTTCTTAAAATGAAATGCTTTCAGAGATTATTTGCAACTTTTACATTTTTAATTCAATTTTTAGAGCCTCAGTTAGTTGATGTTTCTTTCTAATTAATATATTATTTATTTCTTCTTACTCCAGTTTAAATTACCAAAAATCACAACATTGCACTTTATACTTTATTAGAATACTTGAATATAATGAAAACTTAATATTTTTGAGTATTCTTTTGGAAAAATTAAACTACTGACAAAAATATTCTTAACAAAAAATAGATTCAAGAAATAATTTAAATAAACAATTTGGAATTAAAATCTAAGTTATCCAAATATTATGGTAAACGATAGACTTAACAACTTTTTAATGATAACTAAAATAATTATAAAATCATATTAATCTATCTGACAAAAACTTTTTAAACTCGAACACGTTTTAAACAATATCGGTTCTTTTCTTGTTTAAAATATGCCAATGTTACTTTTGAAGGCTAATCATCTAAATGATAAACAGTTAATTAATACTTTTTCTAATAATAAAACAAGGTTTTCGAAATATAAAAATACAATAAAATCTATTTTAGATATTTTAAAGTGCAATAATAGCTTCATATCAATAAAATATGAGTATAAAAAGATACATATTACTCTTCTAAAAAAGTTAATAAATATTCAAGTGAAAAATTTTGTATTAATCTATGTCAAAATGATTGTAATTATAAATGAATTAATATTGATAGATTAATTCTTTATTAGTAACAATTTTTAATTTATATTTTATTAGTTTCATTAAATATGTCAATTTAATTCTTTTAAAATATTTTACTTTTAAGCATAAAAAAAAAAAAATAAAGAAAGCAAAGACTTACCATAATAGTCCAGTGGTTGTGCTTTATTGATGAAATTTAGAAAAGTATAAATAAAATCAGTAATTATTGATTGTAAAAAAAATTGCAGAAGTATTTATAGAAGAAAGATCATTAATAAGTTTTCTCTTAAAATTAAAAATTCCTATAATTTTAACATTTTAAAATCTATATTTTAAAAAAAAATTATATTTTTAACTCTAAAAGCTTATTAATAATAGTAATAATAGCAAATTTTTCATTTCACATATAGTAATAAATTTATTTTAATTAAATATAGAAATAGTTATAAATTTACAGCAACTTCAAATAAAATTTGCAACTTCATTCTATNAATATTTCTTTATTTTTTTTTGCAAATTTCATAAATTAAAAACTTTTTTGGTAATAAATACTTTTCTTTATATGATTTTATTAAAAGTAGCTAATTAATAATCAAAATGTTGACTAAAACTACAAAACTTAAAATCATTTCTTAAAATGAAATGCTTTCAGAGATTATTTGCAACTTTTACATTTTTAATTCAATTTTTAGAGCCTCAGTTAGTTGATGTTTCTTTCTAATTAATATATTATTTATTTCTTCTTACTCCAGTTTAAATTACCAAAAATCACAACATTGCACTTTATACTTTATTAGAATACTTGAATATAATGAAAACTTAATATTTTTGAGTATTCTTTTGGAAAAATTAAACTACTGACAAAAATATTCTTAACAAAAAATAGATTCAAGAAATAATTTAAATAAACAATTTGGAATTAAAATCTAAGTTATCCAAATATTATGGTAAACGATAGACTTAACAACTTTTTAATGATAACTAAAATAATTATAAAATCATATTAATCTATCTGACAAAAACTTTTTAAACTCGAACACGTTTTAAACAATATCGGTTCTTTTCTTGTTTAAAATATGCCAATGTTACTTTTGAAGGCTAATCATCTAAATGATAAACAGTTAAAATAAAAATATTAGCTTAATGCTTTTTGGCTTCTTCAAAACATCTTAATTACCTACTTAATTTGAAATAAAAATGAAATACTAACAAATTAAAATTCATTTTCTAGCCTATTCATCTTTCTTAAACTTTTCTTAATTTCTCTTGCGTTTAATACCAATTATTTTTAGTACTTAAACAGAATAATTAATATCTTTAGAGAACAATTTATAAAAATATCTTAATCATTAATTAATTAACTGAAAAAAAGTTCATTGAACATTAAATAAACATTCTCTAATATGATTATATACAAGTATTTACTATATAAGTGCCATTGATGCAATATTAATGAAATATTATTTAACCAATTACATTGCTATCAGTTAGGTTCAATTAAAAATATTTAATTTTATGGCATAATTGTTGATCCAATTAATGTAGAATTGAATTTCATATTTAGTTACAGAAATCAAAAAATATTTGTACATATTTATATACCAGAAGTCAATAACCCAAATTCTTGGTTTTGTAAGAAGCATCCAGTCAAAAGAAATCACAACTAGTCAACTGTAGAAAATTAACTTTATTCACTTAACTTATATGTTTTGCAGTAATCCTCATTAGATATATTATTGCCACTGAAAAATATTACAGAATACTTCTTTACGATGCCATTTTACATTTTAGCTTATGTAAAACCATTTAAAATTCATTAAAAGCTTCCATTTTACATTATATATTTTTATTTACAAATTTATACTAATTTTTAAAAGTTTTAAATATCAAATTTTTTTCAAGTTTTCAAGAAGTTTCATTTTCAGGATACAGTTGATAGACAAAAAAAAATTCCGGTATTTAAATATCACACAAGATTAAAAATTTGTTGATTGGACACTCAGAATAATGTTCAAATTTTATGATATTATTTTTATTTTTCTTTTAAGTTAATAGCTGCAATATATCTATAATCATATTTTTAATATAATCAATTGCACATCTCTTTTATTCACAACATGCATTAATATTTTAAAATATTTTTCAATAATCTAATTTTCAAAACTTTTATTATTATATTAATTAATTGTATAAAATTTCATTTTTCTATTTGCCTTTTCAAAACATAAGTTTACACCATTATCACAAATTTTTAATTTTAGATCAAGATTTTTAATTGAAGACATTATAAAATTAAATAAAAGATGGATACAATGATTTAAAAAATGTTTCTATAAAAAAATATTCCTTTGAAATTTATAAGAGAAAAAACTTCATAATAGCTGATGTATCTTTTTCTATATGGTATTATTTATATTGTCAAACTGTATTTACTAAAATCAATTTTTCATTTAATTCTGTTTAATACTAAATTATTTTATTTTCAAATGCATGAACTGTGAATAATTATTAGCATTGTATTATTCATACAGAAGTATTGATTTATGTATTATATAAATTAATTTATTTATTTTTAAAATAACAATGAAAATAACATACTCTGTCTTGTGGAGTTAAAATCAACAAGTTATTCACACTTTGCAAGTAGTTTCAATAGTTTATGACTATCCTCCTCAAGTTGATTTGTTTTATATTCAAATTGAACAAGATTTTTTATATTTAAATGAAATTGGAACATAATGGGCAAACTAAAAAAAAAAAAAAAAGTTTAAAAGGNATCTGGATAAGGCCAAAATTTTAGGTTTAGTTCTTGCTTTCTTCATCTGTTTTTGGATATTGTCAGTTTTCTCTTCTTGTGACTTTGATAGTGTGTCCTTCATACAGATAAAGTTCAAAATTAATAATGTTACTTACTGTAACAAAAAGACTTGGATAAAATTAGCATTAACTGGTTAATATTAGCATTTATATATAAACTTTCAATGAACAGAAATAAAGAGATATCTTGTATATTAAACTTTCAAACTTATAGTAAATTATTATTATTCAAATATCAATATCCTTTAAAGTCATTGTTGAGATTTGTTTTTTGTATACTAAAATACATTTATACATTATAAGATAAATATCTGATTTTCAAGAACTTTTTATATGTATTTCTTCATAAATACGATATTTGTTAAAAAGAAATTAAGTAAAATAATATCAAATTTAAAGACGATAATATTTAGAAATGAAGTATTTGAAATTCATTATTTACAGAAATTCATATTTTATTTGAAGTTACTCAACAAAAAATTATAAAGCATATAATGCTTTTTATTTTTGAATTATATGTAAAAAAATTAAACATTTTTTTTTTTATTAAAGATATATTTAACACTATAAAATTTTAAAATAATTTTAGTGCTATAAATAAAAGAGAAAGCTCATTAATGATTACTATTTAAAAAGTAATAAATATAGATTGATATGCCATGCTATTTATGTAGTTTATATAAATGGTTCAAATTATGAAACTAAATAAATTTTAAAATGCATAATAACTAATTAAGTTTCTTTTATTATTCTTTATATAATAAAAATCTTTTAAGCATTATTTTCAAAATGTTTAGAAAATATATTAAAATATTAAAATTATCAATAATAAATTATATAATGGAGTACATTTCCAAGACAGAAGTGATCTTTTTCCTCAGAAAAGAAATTTTTTTTAAATTTATCTTTTAAAAGAAATTTTAAAATTTATCTATCTTTTAGGGCACTGTTTTAAATGAAACAGTGCCCTAGTTATGTTCAAGCTTACATAACTAGAAACTAAGTGTGTTTATTTTGTACAAATATTCTGAATGTAAAGAGCAACAATAAATAATTCAATAGTCTGTAAATTATATATGTTAATTGGTTTACTCATAAAAACATAAATCATTAGTGTTACATTATAAACAGTCATATTACAAAATGATTAAGTTTTTTAAATCTTCTCTAGAATGTTTGGAAGTATTTTTTTAGATCCTTTACATAAAATACTATTTATCAATAACAACTACTGTATTGTCAATCTGCCTTAGTGCCCACAGTGAAAAGGGTTTTAAAAAAATATCAGTTCATTAATTGATATTGTTGAACAGATAAACTAACAGCATTATAGTTTGGTTAAACTCTATAATCCTTTATGTCAGGTACAATATTTCCTATAGCAAACAAATATTCAATAGTTAAACCATGCACAATTTATTATTCAATTTTCTCTTCTACTATAGAAGAGAAAATTGGATTAAACCATTGGATATTTGTTTGCTGTAGGAAATATTGTACCTGACACAAAGGATTATAGAGTTAAATTAATAAGAATACAGCTACTCTATTTAAAGAAAGTATAATATTATAATGTAGACCTAATTCAGTGATGAATTTATATGCATTGAGTAATTATAAATTGTGGTCACAATATATGAGGAATTTTATATGAAGAACTATATTCTATTCCTTTATGCATTTATGAGATAAAATACTTGCCATAACAAGTGTTGATTAAAAAATTATGTACACAAAATATTCCAGTTACAAGTATGACAAGATTAAAATTCTTGCGTACTCTGATTAATGATTTGTAAATCCTAATCTTCATTTTGTTTTTTTTTTGTTTGTTTCATTCCCATTGTGCATTTGATGTACCATTCATTCTAACACAGTTGTGCAGTTTAGTAAACTTTATCTCTACATTATAGATTCTTCTAGTGGTAATTATAATTAATTAATTAAAAAAACATTATTATTTTACTCTATTTTACTTGTTTTCTGCTTGCTTATTGTCTTAACTTTGTTTTCTTACCATTAAATAATGTCTGATAGATAGTTGCTTAGGTTGTATTCATTCTTTTTTGTTTTGTATCTTTTCCCTTTTGTATTGATGAATAAAGTAAAATACTGATTGCTTCATTTCATTTAGGATCATTAATTGATAGGTAAATAAGTGTTCTGAAGCACTTCCATGTTATTTGGAGAATTTAGGGACTCTGGGTCATATTGAAACAAGGTACAAATTTCCATGATAAGAAATAATGGAAAAACTCATCTCTATTTAATATTTCAATTTACAACAAATTTTTGGGAATAAGGTATGCTCATAAATCAAGATTACACTGTAATGCAATTGAATTTAACATTAAGAATAATAGC